AGAAACTCCATCTTCTGGCCCACCGTCTGGCAGCCAGGGGACAGAGAGACAGACGGGGAGCATGGGACAGGGGACCCATGGCCAGCAGGACCGGAGCACTTGGGGGTGCCGTGCAATGCAGAAGACCTGGGAGAAGCAGCTCTGCCCAGCCAGCACACCTCTGGCAGCCCGGCAATAATTCTGCTTTTCAGTGAGGTTTCTTTCGATGCTTGGGAAAACTGCCCTTTTAGAAGACTCTGGTGTCTGAATTGGTGAAAATCTTTACTTTATGACTCTGGTGTCTGAATTGGTGAAAATCTTTCCTTTATAGCCAGCTGTGGGGTGTGAGTTTCAAGGTCTCGGTGTTTTCGAGCTCACCAGGTTGCTGGGATGAGGAGGAGCAAGACCTGGGCACTTGACTCAAGCTGCCAACAGGATTATTTCATACTGTGAACATCACATCCAATAGAAATTACAAAGTTTGCTGAGGAATTCTCTCTCTCCCTGGATGGCTGCCACCCTGAGAACTCCTTGCCCTGGTGCTGGAGCCCTGAGCCTTTCTCTTCCTCCCCAAGCCGCAGCGCTCGCAGGGTCCCACATCAGCTGTCCCTGCTGGGAGTGACCAGCTTCTGGTGGTGGGACGGGATGGGTGTGATCCTTGTATATTGGTATCAGTATCAATATTGATTCTTTAGTACTATAAACATTAATTATCTAGTCTTATTCTATTAAATCTGTTTATATTTCAGCCCCGGGGTTTCCTTGGCAGCAAGGACAGCCCCTGGTGCCCCTGCCTGTGAAACCCACTTGCAGATGGGCAGGAAAGGTCCCTGCCCCATGACATCGCTGCCCCCTGCCCGCCCCGCTGCCCCTCGCTGCCCGTGCCCCGGGGCAGGACCTGGGTCCCTTCTGCTCTCTCCATCCTCGGGTGAGGGTGTTCTGGGGATGGTACCAAACCTGAGCAGCCCCAGCCTTCAGGCAGCATCATGACCACCACCCATGGGACCCACACTGCCAGCCTGATGCTGGCCTCGAGCAGGGTGCGCTCGGTGGCACCAGCCCTGCCCAGACCAACAGGACCCCCCACTCACCCCTCTGCAGCAGCTGGAACCTGCACACCTCCTGGGGCTGCGGTGGAGAGCTGAGCTGGAGCGCTGTCCTCAGTCATAGAATGGTTTGGGTTGAAAGGGACCTTAAAGATCATCCAATCCCACCCCCTGCCCTGGGCAGGGACACCTCCCACCAGAACAGGTTGCTCCAAGTCCCCTCCAACCTGCCCTTGAACCCCTCCAGGGATGGGGCAGCCACAGCTTCTCTGGGCAACCTGGGCCAGGCTCTCACCACCCTTACACCAAAGTTCTTCCCCACATCTCAGCTCAATCTCCCCTCTTTCAGTGTCAAACCCTTCCCCCTCTTCCTGTGGCTCCCATCCCTGATCCAGAGTCCCTCCCCATCTGTCCTGGAGCCCCTTGAGGGACTGAAAGGGGCTCTAAGGTCTCCCCGGAGCCTTCTCTTCTCCAGGGTGAACCCCCCCAACTCTCTCAGCCTGTCCCAACAGCAGAGGGGCTCCAGCCCTCCCAGCATCTTTATGGACCTCCTTTGGGCAATTGGGACTTTCTATGGGTAATTCCCCCTTCCTCCCATCTGAAGATGCAGTGTCAGAGGGAGAGAGTGCAGGCCCCCCCCCCCCCCCCCCAGTCTTTCTGAAGAAGTAATTGCTTCAGAATCATCTTCCTGCTGCTTTCCACATTTTTATGCTTCTATTACAGAGTTAAGAGTCATTCCCCAATAGCCTCAACCTCTTAAAACAACCTGGAGAAACGCACCAAAGCCACCATTCCCAAGTAAGCACCATTTCCAAACGCACCATTTCCAAGTAAGAAATACTTAAATCCAGCATGTCCCTGTGGTTCATGCAGGTAAGGGTGATGCTAGCACAGGTCATACTGGTTTGACTCTCTTCCCCTAACAGTAAGATGGACAACCTGAGAATCATAGAATCATAGAATTTCCCAGGCCGGAAGGGACCTCCAAGGGTCATCCAGTCTGACCTCCCCACACTCAGCAGGGACACCCCCAACTAGACCAGGTGGCCCAGGGCCTCTTCAGGCCTCACCTTGAATATCTCCAGGGATGGGGCCTCAACCACCTCCCTGGGCAACCTGTTCCAGTGCTCCACCACCCTCACAGTAAAGAACTTTTTCCCAATATCCAATCTAAATCTGCTCTTCTCCAGCTTAAAGCCATTGCCCCTCATCCTGTCACTACAGGCCTTTGTAAACAGGCTCTCCCCAGCCTTCCTGTAGGCCCCCTCAGGTCCCGGAAGGCCGCTATTAGGTCTCCCCGGAGCCTCCTCTTCTCCAGGCTGAACAACCCCAGCTCCCTCAGCCTGTCCTTGTAGCAGAGGCGCTCCATCCCCCTCATCATCCTTGTGGCCCTGAACTGGGCAGAAGAGCAGCCACAGCATGGACTAACACCCTGCGTCTGCCTGTGGTCCATGGGCCAAGCGAAGCCCACGTACTGGGCTGCTGTGATACCCACATTGGCTCCTGGGTGTCCAAATACAGCATTTGCAACTACAGCCCCTGAACCCCACCTGACGCTGCTCAGCAACGCAACATTTTCATATGCAGGAACCAAAGAAAAGGGCATGACAGAAATTGCTACTGGCAGAAAATGGCGAAATAGTCCCAATAAACAGATTTAATGTACAGGTGGGTTGAGCCACTCGTGATACTCATAGCAATCAGGCTGCACTAATTACGAAAACCGTGTTTAAATTCCAGAACTGAACTTTGTGTCTGGCCAAAGATGAACGAATTTCCTCCCGGCAAGAGGTGGGGATTGCAAGAGCAATTTCAAACCAGTGACCACAGGCGGGTTGAGGTGGTGGTACCTTGGGAGTGCCAGTGATGAGCCTGCATCCCTGGAAGGCAGGCAGAAGCCAGAGGAAAATCCTGGAAAGCACAGACACCATCATCTACCCAACAAGAAGCATCCATTTGCACAGTCGCACATACAGTTTTTGCTGTTTTGTTTTTTTTTTTAAAAGAAAACTAACATGTTTGTAGCTGCACGGTCTTACCTTACTGGCACCAATACACCTAATAACGGAATCCCTCAAATTACTTTTTCCTCCATTTATGCTTGAGAATTAAAACAGAACGGAGGCCTCAGCAAATCTGCGCATCACAGACACATCCGAAAAAAAAAAATGCCTCGTACTTTGGCAGTTAGTGAGAGTAACTACATTAAAATAGAGTACTTAATTGCTGTGTAGTTAAACAGCTTTTGGCTGTCTGCCAGGTAACTTTCCTTGGTCCACTCTTTCATATCCAAACAGGAAAAGGATTTTGAGTGTATTAAAGGGACAATCTTAGGAAAAATACTTTTTTTTTTTTTTTTCTCTGTTCATTGCTAGGTTGTGACACAATCGCCTTAAAAGACACGAGCCAGGCACGCGGCGTGCAAGCCTCTCCTGCCAATTGCTTTCACATTCCTTTTCTTGAGGTTTAGTAAAAGGCATCAAAACAACATCAAACATCCCCAACCAAGGAGGATGGCAGAGGGTATACACTGTTTCGTTGAGGTCACCAGCTCCCCGCAGGCTTCATAAAAGTTATTTCAAAACCTAAACTCTGGGCCCATCTTGTATCCCTTGAAACAAAAGGAACATTTCGTTATCCAAGATGCTGCATTAAAATGACTTGACCAGACACATTCACATAATTCATCTATCAATCAGCCACTTACATTACACTTCATGCAGGATTACAGGAATCAGACTGATATAAAAGCCATCTGAAGATGCAGTGTCACAGTGAGAGAGTGCAATGTGCCCCAGGACACAGAAGCTTTAATCTGTGGGTCTTCAATCAACCAATTTATCAATAAAAAAGGAAAAAAAAACCAAACCTTCAGCAGTATGCTTTTGGAGGGTGAGGCCATGGCATGGTCTTCAGCATAGCAAAAATGTGCACAGTGAAACACATCTCATTCCAACCAGTTTGTGAAGTTTGACAGTTTAGAAAAAACAAAATCAGGTCTTCTTCCCACCCAAACAAAAGCAGATCTGACTACCAAGAACCAGAGGAGGTTTCTCAAAGGCACAGTCTCAACAGATAACTTCTGTTACAAAGCAAACAATACAAGTTCATATTTCTGTGCCACTGAATAATTAGGAGAATATGCTAAAGTACTTTCAATTATCTTTTTTTCTTTTAAATTGAAAGAGTACTTTTTTTTTTTTTAAATGGGGAACCTCTACTAATTTTACTTCTTTTGTGAGCAGCACGTATACAACACACCCAGAGCAAAAAATAACTTGGTACTGCAAAGCTAGTTAATTTTCATAACAAATCATTCCTTGAAGAGATGAGTAGTTTAAGCTGCAAAGTGACTCTGCCGTGAGAAAGGAAGTCCAAGGATCCTGAGAGAACGATTTTGCTGCTGGTCGGTAACCAAATGAAAAAGTAGTGCATTTCACCAAAGACAAACCTAGTAGAATTTAGCTATGCTGCTGCCTTGACACCAGAGGTGTATGCTATAAAAGAACCAGTAAAAAAATCTTGTAAATCACACACTTATATTTAATATATTGAAACAAAATAGTTAAGAATGCAAGAACTGTATACAGATTAAAAAAATATTTTTTAAACCATCTGATCTTAAAAATAGACAATAGTAGTGAAGCTTAAAATACAACCACTCGCATTAAAATGTTTCAAGCAATACCACCTTGGTGTGTCCTGTTCCATCAAATGGCCACTAAGATAACGCATCAGTTGTTAAAAAGGTTGTGTTGGTTGGAGTCACTTTTTCACAATCCAAATCTACAACAGTTTTCCCTTTGATGGAAGAGCCCGAGCACTCCTGGTGCAAACTTTCCCGCCTCTCCGAAAGTTTAGAAGTGGATCGAGCCATCGAGCCACTTTGGCTTCCATTGGTTTGAGAGCAGACGTTATTCACTTTAGTAGTTTTATTTTTGTGGTGGTTGTTGTAGACTTTATATTTCATGAGGAGGATGAAGATGAAAACAAGAACCGAAGCCACAATGATACCCCCAATAATGATGATCATGGTTCCTCCAAGAAACTGGGCATGAAGGGATCGGCACTGTTTGTACTCTTCCTGGGTTGTGAACTGCACACATCCGATCACTCTGGTTGCGGTCAAAGATGTCAATCCATCATCATAAACAGCAAGAACGCAGAGGTCGTACTCACGTCCTGCAACCAGATCAGTCAAGAAGAAGGATTTACTAGCAGCTGGGATCATCCTGGAAGAGAAAATGAGTACAGTAAACATCCAAGCTGATGGAGCCCAAGGAGAGCTCTTTGACTGTTGATGCCACTGTAAGGAAATGAACAGAGCAGAAGGTGAAGGTGGCCACCAGAGCAAGCAGCAAAAGGCTGGCATTCCCTGGGTTACTCGGTAGGGATGGAAGATACAGATTTTAGCAATGACAATATCTTTACCTCGGCCATTTCAACCAAACATGGACTAGAGCGCACACGCTTACCAATGGGCAGCGGAGAAGTCACACTTGACCTATTGTTTTGATCTGCATTAGCTTATATTTCCCCAGTTTCAGCAGAGAAGGGTATAACACGCCCTATGCAGAATTGATTACCATCAGCCTTTCAAAAAACGTCCAGGAACTGAAGCAACATACTTAAGGAATTGGTTGGCAGGAAAGGATAAAATGCAACACTTTAAAAAATGTATTTTAGTAATTTTACATCCACAGGAAGCACATTTTTAAGATCAAGGGAAAGAGGCAAATTCAAACCTTTGGTCTACAGATTAACCTTATTTCCATCTTCTAACAGCTTACTGGTGCTCAGTGGCTTGTAATCAGGTGACCAGTAAGAGCGATCAGAGCAATGTATGTGCACCTGCAACTAAGCAGTGTCTTTGAAAGCCAAAGAACAACACGTACTGACTTCTTTACCTTGCTGGAACCCTAATATTGTGATGGTTTGACTTCCTTGCCCTGATGCAACTCTCACATTGAGATTGTTCAACGTTGGTTCCAAATATTCCTTTATCATTGGTACTAAACCGACAGATGAGAAGGATTTCAAAAGAAGAACTATGTGCTCTGTTACAAGTTCTGGCAGACACTGGTCATGACCATACGAATCACAACATCTCACTGGAGACCAGCTCTCCACATGTTTGGCTCAGGTTCCTCACTGCAGTACAGTAGCACGGCTGCAGAGGAGTCAGTGAAATGACATCCATTTATCAGTGGGTGGGAGTGTGGCCTTCTCTTGGCCACAAAGGTGGTGGTGGTGGAGAAGACTAATCAGTGGAGAAGACTAACCACTTGTCATACAGTCTTTTCCAGGCAGTCATCCATGGGACTATGGACCATACAATGGTATGATCAAGGGGCATCCCATACAACGGACCATACAGAGAAAGGAGAGCCACACCTTCAAAAGAACATTCTTCAAACACATGGCTGCTACCACTTCATTTATAACAAATGAATTTCTGTGACTATGGGAAAACAAACGCTCCCTTGTCAATGTACATGCACCATCACAGAGTCATAGAAACACTAACAGAGGAGACCATGCCAAGTTCTCTAGCCCAGCTTCCCAAGCAGAGCAGTCCTGTCACAAACAGCAGATAAGGTCAACCACACTTCTGCCTTGAAAACCTTCCAGGAGCTCTCCAGGCACCATTCCAGTGTTAAACTACCCTCCTAGTAGGTATTTTCCCCCTAATGTCTGATTTTAATTTACCAAACTGCCACTCATTACTATTGCCCCAGCCTTAATCTATAACACCAGCTTCACGACCTCCACAGAATGGTGCTGAGTTGAGATCTTTACAAGCAGGAAAAAGAGGACTTGAGAGGAAGGATCATAGGACCATAGAATCATTCAGGTTGGAAGGAACCTTAAAGACCACCCAGTTCCAAGCCCCTGGGGACACCCCCCACCAGAACAGGTTGCTCCAAGCCCCCTCCAACCTGCCCTTGAACCACTCCAGGGATGGGGCAGCCACAGCTTCTCTGGGCAACCTGGGCCAGGCTCTCACCACCCCTCACAGCAAAGAATTTCTTCCCAATATCTCATCTCAATCTTCCCTCTTTCAGTTTAAAACCGTCACCCCTTGTCCTATGGCTCCCCTCCCTGATCAAGAGTCCCTCCTCAGCTTTCCTGGAGCCCCTTGAGGGACTGGAAGGGACTCTAAGATCTCCCTGGAGCCTTCTTTTCTCCATGCTGAACCCCCCCAACTCTTTCAGCCTGTCCTCACAGCAGAGGGGCTCCAGCCCTCCCAGCATCTCCAGGGCCTCCTCTGGCCCAGCTCCAGCAGCTCCATGTCCTTCTGATGTTGGTGGCCCCAGAGCTGGAGGTAGCACTGCAGGGTCATCTCCCCAGAGCGGAGCAGAGGGGGAGAATCCCACCCCCCTCGCCCTGCTGACCACGCTGCTGGGGATGCAGCCCAGAGTGTGGGGGGCTTTCTGGGCTGCCAGCACACATTGCTGGCTCATATGGAGCTTCTCACCCACCAATACCCCCAAGCTCTTCTCCTCAGGGCTGCTCTCCAGCCACTCTCCATCCAACCTGTATTTGTCCCTGGGATTGCCCTGACCCAGGGGCAGGACCTTGCACTTGGCCTGGTTGAACTTCATGAGGCTGTCACAGTCCCACCTGTCCACCTCCAACCTGTCCAGGTCCCTCTGGATGGCACATCCCTTCATTCCAGCATGTCAACCACTCCCCACAGAACTACCCCAGGGAAGTACACAAAAATTCCTTTCTCAAATTGAAACACCCAAACAACTCCTTGCGTGTACATAATGAGAAATTTAAGCCAACATTAGACCAGCAGAACAAACCCTTGAAATCATGGCCACCATTACTCATTCAGAGGGCAGGCGATGCGGAATGAGGTCAGCCAGCTGCAAGCATCAACAGACTCATCCCTTCCCTCTCCTGCAAGCAGTCCTTCATGGAACAAACATTTTGTCCTGATTGCTGCTTTGAAGTTGTACATCTCCAACACCAGCTGAGCACTGAATCCTCAAAATATGTTGTGCTCCTTTCTTATAAAATCATAGAATGGTTAGAGTTCAAAGGGACCTTAAAGACCATTGAGTTCCAACCCCCCTGCCCTGGGCAGGGACACCTCCCACCACACCAGGTTGCTCCAAGCCCTGTCCAACCTGGCCTTGAACCCCTCCAGGGATGGGGCAGCCACATCTCTGGGCAAACTGGGCCCGGGTCTCACCCCCCTCACAGCAAAGAATTTCTTCCCCAGATCTCATCTCAATCTCCCCTCTTTCAGTGTAAAACCATTACCTCTTACCATTGTCCTTTCTTCCACAAATTTAACTCACCAATGTCATTACGTACCATTACACCTTGTCAAAGAAAACACCGAAGTTGTGTTGTCTCACCGGACCAGGACTCCAGAAAGGAGCTCATCGGTCCTTTGCTTTTCCAGGTACCATTTTTGGGAGCCTGCAGCTGGTGATTCTCCCACATTCTCTGTGTGAAGGTGGCCCTCAATGCTCTGCTGGCAGGTCTGGCACTGCTTGGTTTGCTCCCTGGCTTGACATCCGCCTTCCTAAATCTTATACCATTCTCAATTATCAGACAAATACGTAATTAACTCTTCAGTCTTCTGTTCAGCCACATTTCATAGTGACCAAATAGGGCAAGAGAACACCGTGACTCAGACTGGATTGCATTCCTCCCTCAGCCCAAGCACGACGTTATGCCAAAACTAAGCAGATTCTTGCTTGTCACACAAAGGGATGCGACTGAGAAGATGGAGAATTTATTTGTCTGCCTTCAGGACTAAAAGGCTTTGAAATCAGTCAGGCCTCCCAGAAAAATACATCTAACCATGGCACAGAGTCTAAAATTGCTTGACATCAACAAAACTGTCACCGAACCCCAGGGCACTATACACAAAAAATTAAGAGATGTCACAGATAACGCTCTGCAGAAGAAGGCACTGCTAGAAGACCAGCTAAGCAAAAGGAATATGTTTAGAAGACCAGCTTAAGGAACAGGAATTGAAAAGAAAAAACATACAGAAAGCATCTTTCCAGTCTGCCCATCTGTGAGAGGGAGGTGTAATTGCAGAAATTATGCAAAGTACTGTTTTCTAGCTTAATGTCCATATTATTTGCCTTATTCAGCAGCCTTTGAGACTCACTTTCCTTCCTTCAACTTTCTGCGTTCATTACTGTTAGGATTATTCAAAGAAGAGTTTGGTATTGAAATTTGACTAATTACAATGGAAAGCTATGTACAGCACGCACTGCATTTCAGCGTGCCCAGCTATTGCTGAAACACTCTTAGTCATTGTCATCAAAAAGAGGAGGTTCTAAACAAAGGCCTTTCTGATCTCATGTACAAATCTTCTGCACAAATGTTCAATATGACCAAATATATATTTGATTTCTATCAGCTTTTCTAGTCATACAAAGCTATTTTCAGTACCACGAGTAAGGAGAAGCGTATAGTCCTGACAAGGTAAGAGATAAGGTTTCTTCTCTGGCTGAGCAGTTATTCACAGACTCACAGTCTCTTGGGAAAGGTAGCTATTTTGGCACATTTAGGAAGTTTTGAGGAAACCTCTACAAATGAGTAAGGACAACTCACAACTGAGTAGGCAATCTGCCCACGGCCATGTCAGTAGTTAACCTCTGCACATTTTCTCACTTATGCCTGCAGAACATTTCAGAGAATCATAAAATCATAGAATCATTCAGGTTGGAAGGGACCTTAAAGACCATCCAGTCCAACCCCTGCCCTGGGCAGGGACCTGGGTGGGAAGTCCACCAGAACAGGTTGCCCAAGCCCCCTCCAACCTGCCCTTGAACCCCTCCAGGGATGGGGCAGCCACAGCTTCTCTGGGCAACCTGGGCCAGGCTCTCACCACCCTCACACCAAAGAAGTTCTTCCCCACATCTCAGCTCAATCTCCCCTCTTTCAGTGTCAAACCCTTCCCCCTCATCCTATGGCTCCCATCCCTGATCAAGAGTCCCTCCCCAGCTTTCCTGGAGCCCCTTGAGGGACTGGAAGAGGCTCTAAGGTCTCCCCGGAGCCTTCTCTTCTCCAGGCTGAACCCCTCCAACTCTCTCAGCCTGTCCTCATAGCAGAGGACCTCGAGCCTTCCCACCATCTCTGTGGCCTCCTCTGGCCCCGCTGCAACAGCTCCATGTCCTTCTGATGTTGGTGGCCCCAGAGCTGGAGGCAGCACTGGGGGGGTGTCTCCCCAGAGTGGAGCAGAGGGGCAGAATCC